CAGGACTTCTGCGTCCTTGACAATGAAAGTGGAGGCTCGGATCCATGCAGTGGGCAGGACTTCTGCGTCCTTGACAATGAAAGTGGAGGCTCGGATCCAGGCAGCTGGGTACTCCTGTGATCTTGCTAACAGGATGGGACTCATCCAGAACCAGTTAGGTCCACATAATGTAAGAGCAGCCGGAGGTTGAGTGTCTTCAGCACGGTGGTCCACGGTGGCCCTTCCTTGAACCTCATCTCTGGTCCTCGTCTCCTCAGTGGTCATGGGCAAGTTACTGGCCTCTCTGACCAGCAGTGTCCTCACCTGGAGGAGGGGAGTGACAAGAATGCCTACCTGTGGCTGTTGGGTGCTCTTGGGTACAGGTAAACAGGAAATATGAGGCGACTCCAATGGCTGAAACCTTAAGGGCATTTTCGGTTCCCTTCGATGAGGAATGGAGACAGAGTAGGCGTCCGAGTCAGCCGGGGCCATGGACTCCATTTCTCTGCACTTCTGGCTACCGAGCTGCTTCCTTGCATGGTGTCTTTTTCCTCTGGTGACAGAGTGGCCTAGGGCCTCCTGTCATGTTGCCCCCTGTCACCATGTCCCGAAGAAGGTAGAACAGGATTGCCAAACCAGGAGCCTGATTGGACCACTCAGGGCACAAGCAGGCCTTGGTTGGTGACAGGCTGGGGTGGAGGAAGATAAACATTGGCCACCTGGAGCACTGACGGGGTCAGTCCCTTCACCACAAGAGAGGTGAGAGGGAGTCATGGACACCGAAGATGTCTGGGAAGACAGCCAATTCAGAGAATGAAGGAGGAGCAGAAAGTGAGCTTCCCAGCACTGGGGCCATCTCATAGGGTGACCGGTAGGGCAGGTGGGATGAGGCGTGAAACATTGATCACTCGGTGCCTGCTTGTTTAGTATGAATTACTGTGCTAGTGCTGCCCCGGCCCGATCGCGGACCTTAGGCATATTAAACCCACAACAGGACTCCATGTCCCCATTAATCTCTTATATTTATGTAATACTTTGCAGTTTCCAAATAACATTCACATTTATAATCTGATTTGATCCTCAGGAGATCCCGAGAAACGTGTTAATATTTATCCTTTATATCTATGTGTAACACTTTTTGGTTTGCAAATAACGCTCTCATTAATAATCTAACTTGATCCACATCGTGGAAGCCTACAAAGTGATGCTGAGCTAATTCTGGCGAGATTAAGCCACAGCCGAAGGTTGCCCAGCTGACGAGCAGCGGAAACGGGGCCAGGGCACTCACTCTTGACAGTTCCACGTGGCCTCCTGCCCTGCTGCATGCTGGCAGGGAGGGGGGCTGCTCCGCACTCATCAGCAAGAGTTGCTCTTATGCTTATTTTAGCGCAGCCCAAGGACTTGTTCTTTCCACCCCCTTTGTCTTTTAGGGCTGTGTGGGGTCACTGCACACTCAGTTAAACTGATGGGAGAGAATCTAAAATTGGGTAGGCTGAAAGTAGCCCCGTGTTCCCAAACACCCTGCTGTTTCCCTGTGACATTTGATCCAGCCCTGAAACATGTATTGCTTGCATGTGTGAAGTCAATGTGCAGCAGTTAATTTGGACATACCAGTGAAAGATGGTTTCTGTTTGGGTTTGAGACACACGTTTAGAGATCAGGGTGATGTCTTCGGCCTTACGGTGTCCTCACTTTCAAGGCAGAGCCCAGAAAGCCCCTAATTCACTCTGAGAGCATTTCCCTAATAACTGGAGACTTAGATATCTAAGTCTATATGCAAATCCACTGCCATTGACCCATTCCAACTATAATGACTCTCTGGGACAGAGTGGAACTGCTCTATGGAGTTTCCAAGGCTGTAAATCTTCACAGCAGCAAAGTATCTTCTCTTTCTCCTGTGGAGTGGCTGTTGGGTTTGAACCACTGACTTTTTGGTTAGCAGCCAAATGCTTTAACCATGGTGCCACCAGAGGTCCTTTAAAAAAATGTGCAGCTCTAAAATTGGCTCATGATGTAGAAACCATAGAGCTGACTGTAGCTTTGCAAGTTACATGTTCTAGGGGCTAGGGATCCTCTAGTGTGGGCTTCTAGCTTGAGTGAATATCTGTGTTCTCTGTTG